GATGCAGTTACAGCACATCCGGTTTTTATAATGTTAGATATTACAACCGATCCTTATGAATATTCAGCATTAAAAGATTTTGGAAATCGACCGCCTCCATTAGCATATCATACTGTAAATTTGTATAAGAATTATATGATTGTTGCCTTCGGTGATTATCTAATTAATAATAACATTGTTATTATTATTACTATTATAATCTATAAATAAAACTAAACTTACCTTTTTTCCTTGAAAAATAATGAAGGTAATATCACTAATGATAGATCTGGGTCGTTTGAAACTAATTCTTTTATTTATTTATTGGATTTGCCGTGCCTAGAATGGACTGCCACTTTTATACCCAACTACACCTCCTGTAAACCACCTGAACCACCTAAACCACCAATTTCTTTGATTATTGGTCTGACAGCTGCTTTATTTGTAGTGTTTATTGCAACTACAGTAACAGTTATAAAAATTAATAGTAAAAAACTACTAAATAATAAGCTGATGATTATTATTAATTGCTCTATAGCGTTGATCGCAGCTATAATAATAGACACAATACTTATCGTTATATATCCACCTCAACCGATTATTATTGCGATTGTTAGTGTCACTATTGCTTTGTTTATCATCGTAGTTCTAATAGCTGAAATAAGACTTTTACGTTGAGAAAGTGTTGCTAATAATGAAAAAATTAATAATTAGTTATTGTCACGACTGAGGTTGGAAATGGCTAAAACGGCTGAAGCTGGAAAGTTCAAATATTTTAATATGAATTTTCAAAATTTTTTTGAGTATATTTTATTAGCTTTTTTTTTTATAGTTAAGATTTAGGGTTAGTTTCGATAATACAAATGTATAAGTGGATTTCGTTAGGGTTTATATATTATTTTTAAGTCGAATTTCCAGTTATTAATAGTTAATAAATTTTTGTCATTGTTAATACGTAAATATATGCAAGTATATTAATAAGTATACAATAATGGGCAAAATAGTCAAACCTCTCTATAATCACACCCTTGATTTTAAGAATTTGGTGCTTATAGAGAGTTTGTGCTTATACAGAGATTAAGTTTTATAAGTGTTATATAAGTTGGTTTTAAAATTTTGGTTATAAGCAAATGTAACTATAGAGGAGGTGACTATAGAGAGGTCTGACTGTAACGGCAATTTGGCTCAACCTGGCATATGAATCTTCCACCACTACTTCGCTTTAACTCTTCTCAAGAAATCTATAAAGCCTTATGTATTACGAAGAATAAATTTTACAAATAAAAGATAGCTTAAATTACCGAGTTTAGTTGATTCATTATACTATATACTAAACTTAAACGTTCAAACATACCTCTCATCTAACTTCCGAATTACTTCGCGGATTACTGAATTACTTTAGCAGTTTATAAAACAAGGTATATATATTTTTTTGTATCAAGCTTTACCAATTCGTATCCATGGCTGCCAATCCATTTTTGTAATGCGAAACAACGGCCTATTAAAATCATATAGTCAGGGTTGTCACTAATTGCGGATTTTCTAATGGTAATTTTGGGTTTATCTCAGAATCCCGGTACTTAAAATCCCAATGCTCAAAATCCCGAAAAAATCCCGATAGTATCAATAATTGTCGCAGATCATAATTTAAAATGAAATCTACATTTTCTATTCAACCTCCTAACCTTCTAAAACCCACTTATACTTGTTTAATATATTTTACTCTAATCCTAACCCCTAATTCTAACCCCTAGCCCTAAAAAATACCCACCAAAAAAATTTATTTTTCGAGATTTTGTATTATTATTTCATTTTAATCTGAATTTCATTTTAATCTGCCACAATAATTGCTTTCGGATTTTGAACGCTGGGATTCTGGGTATCGGGATTCGAATGTAAACTGGTAATTTATTATGTTGGAAGGCCTAATGTAATTGATATTGTAAATCGGACCCATATTAATATGATTATCGCTATAAATAAAATTCCATTTATTGAAATTGAAGCTCTAAACTAGCTTTACACTGACATAGAGTTATTTTTTTAATCTTTATTTTTAAAAAAGTAAAAAATATTAATATGATTATTACTATAAATTTTACCAAAATAAAATTACATTTATTGAAATAAATATTTAATCAAACAACATGTTATTTTTTTTTTAAATTGAAGCCCTAAACTAGCTTTACACTGAAATAGAGCTATTTTTTTAATCTTTATTTTTAAAAAAGTAAAAAAATATTAATAATCGAAACCAAGAACTAGGGTTGGGAATTATACGGTATAATAAATATTATACCGTTATTATACCATCACGTAACTATGTAAAAATGGTATTTATACGGTATAATAAATATTATACCGTATAATTTCCAACCCTACCAAGAACACTAATCATTAGCATTCTAAATATTTTTTATAAAAATATTAACTCTATTTCAGTGTAGAGCTAGTCTTGAGGTTCAATTTAAAAACAAAATAGTATTCTATTTAGTTAATTATTTATTTCAATAAATCTAATTTTTGGTTTAATAAAATTGATATGTGTGCATCGATCTCAATAAAAAATCCGCTAGTGATCATTAATGACCCTGCCTATAGGCCGTTGCGCACACCCTAGCGAAATGTTTACGCTAAATTTGAAAAATATTGTGTAACATTTCGGTCAATCACCCAATCACAGAGAAAGGTTACTCCTGTACTCATTAGTTATTATGTAGACCATGAGACTAATCGTGTTACGCAATGCGCGTACTATGCATATAAACATAAATTCAGTATTTAGTAAGTTAGTTACAACTTTTCTTATTTAGAATTATCATTTACTCTATCATTTTAAAAATTGGCCGGTTCATTTGACATTGAGAAAAAAAATGGCTAAACAGTTAGATGAATGGAACAGACAAATAGAAGAACTCCAAAACTCATTTAAAATTTACAAATTCGAAAGTTTTAGTAATCTTCAAAAAATTGTAGATGGTGGTTTTGGAACTGTTCGTAAAGCTAAATGGGTCGATTGCGGATTAGATGTTGCTTTAAAGAGACTTAAAGTTGAAGAACCGGATGAAAATATGGTTAAAGCATTCATTAAAGAGGTATTCTTAGTTATTCTTAGTTTTATGGTGAAATTAGATTATAATTCTGATATTATCATAATTAATGAATTATAATATATCAACAATAGTTTAAAGTTAATCAAAAAGTTGCATCTCATCCGCATATAATACATTTTTACGGGATCGTCAAAGGTATATATTATTATGAGGGATGGCACGTCAAAATGTCCAATTGGTTTCAATTTGTTTTTTTGGATATTCCAATTTCAATTGGACATATGTCCCAAAAAAAATTGAAGCCAATTGGACATTGTGACGTGCCATCCCTGATTATTATATTTGATTAAACTGTAAAATGAAATTAACATTAATTTGTATAGATTCCGAAGGGTATTACAATATGGTCTTGCACTTTGCCAAAGACGGAAACTTGAGAGAATACTTGAAAAAAAACTTTAATACACTCCAATTTGATGATAAATTACGCATTGCAAATGAAATAGCACTTGGTCTTGCATATTTACATAACAATGAAATTGTTCATCGTGACCTCGTAAGTCTTATTCACAATTTAAATGATTTTAAATGGGTTTGACATTGTAATAAGTATTTTATTTTATTAATTTATTTATAGCATTCCAAAAATATCTTGGTTAACGATGGACAAATGAAGATTGCAGATTTTGGTTTAGCTAGAGAAACCAGTGAGCAACTAACTTCAAACGCAAGTACATCTGTCGTTCATGGCATGCCTGCTTATATAGAGCCTGAATGTTTTAAAAATTCAAGCAATCCAAGCAATCCAAGCAATCCAAGCAATCCAAGGTACAAACGCGACAAAAAATCTGATATTTATAGTCTTGGAGTAATTTTCTGGGAAATTTCAAGTGGAAGACAACCATTCGAGCGTTATGATGGATATCAGATTGCCATCAACGTATATCGAGGCGAACGAGAAACACCAGTGGAAGGCACCCCTCCTTATTACTCCGCTCTTTATATACAATGCTGGGATGGAGATCCTAAGAAACGACCAGATATAAAATCCGTTATTAATACATTGGATAAATATTTATCCACAAAACATGATGGATTACTGTCTTATGATATCGGTAGTAATAACGATAGTAATCAGAGCAAAATCAGCGAAGTCAGCGGTGCTAGTGCAAACATTGAGCTCGTCTTACCTGAAAACAGTATATTGAATAGTGGAGCAATTAATAGCAAAGGAAATGATAATGCGAACGGCAATATGACTTCCGAAGAGAATAATGAGGTGAATAAAAAAATGGTGAATGATAAAGTGGATAATGAGATGGTGAATAATAAAGTGGATAATGAGATAGTGAATGATAAAGTGAATAATAAAGTGGATAAAGAGATGGTGAATGATAAAGTGAATAAAGAGATGGTGAATGATAAAGTGAATAATAAAGTGGATAACGAGATGGCGAATAATAAAGTGAATGATGAGCTGGTGAATAATAAAGTGAATGATGAGCTGGCGAATAATAAAGTGAATGATGAGCTGGCGAATAATAAAGTGAATGATGAGCTGGCGAATAATAAAGTGAATGATGAGCTGGCGAATAATAAAATGAATAATGAGACGGTGAATCATAAAGTGGATAATAAGACGGTGAATATTAAAGTGGATAATGAGACGGTGGATAATGAGACAGTGAATATTAAAGTGGATAATGAGACGGTGGATAATGAGACAGTGAATATTAAAGTGGATAATGTGACGGTGAATAATAACGCGATTAATGAAGAAGGTAGCGAAATAATAAACCAAAGCCACTTTTCGTTGATTTCAAAGTGGATTGATGGAGATTATTCTGAAGGAGACCATTCTGAAAAAGATAATTCAACTATTTCACATCGATATCAATTTAAATTACTTATTAGAGGAAGTCGTGATGGATTCGATGCGCCAAAATTTCATGAAAAATGTGACGACAAAGGGCCGACTTTAATAGTTTTGAGAGTCAAAGGTACGAATGAAATTTTGGGTGGTTACAATCATTTAAGTTGGAATCGAAAGAAGAAAATAAATGTTATTAATCAAAAAACAAATAAGAGTTTTATTTTTACTTTGGATAAGAATGATACAACGAACTATAAACTAAGTCTACCGACAAAATCTATATTATCGTTCAATTTATCTAAAAAATATGGATTGCATTTCGCTAGAGACTTATGTTTGAATAAAAATTTTAATGAAGATTGTAAAAATTTTTGCAAACAGCTCGTTTACAGTCAATCAATTAGAGATAGCAAAGACTGTTTTTCTGTAGACGAATATGAAGCTTATGAAGTAACTACAAATAATCCAAATAATTTGAATGGTTCGGTATAAATATAATTACATTTCCCAGTCTTTCAAGTCCACATATCTAAAATTTTTTTAAAATTCAAAGAAAATGTTATTAACATTAGTTATTTATTTACAAAAAAAAAAGGACGATAAATAAAATAACTTATTGTACAATAATCATTACTAAATTATAGCGACATGTATTATATTTTTTTTTTAAAAAAAAACTTTCAAATTAATATTTATCAACTATCGCTATCTAAATATATATTATTAAATAGCTTACGAGATTTTTAATAACACAAGTTACATTTACCATAAAAGATTACATTCCACGTCAATATTCAATCCTATAACAGATCCCAAATATAGTACATAGTTGAGTATTTATACAGTATTATTAAAAGGAAACATCTGAAGGGTATGCATATTTTTCATTTATAACAGACAGCCTGATACTTTAAAAACACCGTATTTAGTTTACAATTCTATTATCAAAGTGCTGTGGCCCGTAAAAATTATTAAATCCTCGCGTTATTCATTTCTTTAACAGATAGAAATTATACCGAGGCATTAGTAATTAAGTTCTTTATCTTCTTTTCTTTTTAAAGCGGTGAATAGATGAGGATTATGTTATTAATAATTTTGATATCCTTATGAAGGTTCAAAATCCAACAATTAAATGAGTTAATTTTATATATAAAATTTATAAAAAAACATCAATTAAATATATATATATATATATAAGGATAGGAATCGATCGATTAATTGACTAATCGATCGACTAAACATTTCTAATCCTTATATATTATATATATATAATAGCTATATAGCTTTAAATATCAGTTTGCTAAATCACACTTGCCCTAATCCTAAATTTTACTTGTAATACTAATTTATACTATATAAACTGTATTAATAAAATCAAGTCAAAATTTGTATTTTAAACTATATACAGTATATTTTCATTTTTAATAAAGTTGTAATTTATATTAAAACATGCATGTTTTAAATTTTAATTATTTATAATTAAAGATAATAAATATTAACAAAATTATATTAAATTGTATGTACTAAATTATATATATTATGTCTAACTTTGCTTATATACATATATATACTAAATTAAAAAAAAAATTTTTAAATACTGTAATATAATTTAGGGAAATTCTATTTTCACCCGGGTTAAAGTCACCCGAAATATTATTAATATTAATAATTTTAGTTACGTAAATGACATTATCGGGTGATTTTAACCCGGGTAAAAATATAATTTATTGAGAATTTCTATTTATTTGCACACTACTGTATTTATATATACATTGGATACCGCTATTTCTCAAAATTTTTAATAAAGTTTCTTTCGAAGTTTTAACAAAAAAGATTTCTTGTAAACTTTTAGCATAGCCAATGTTGTTTTCTAAGCTTGACAACTAACCTTATCTTAATATATATTAAGCAGGATTAAATGTTATTACATGTCACTCTGGTTATATCGACATCTGGATATACCGGCGTCTGGCTATAACGACATTTTTTATAATTTTGAAACTATATACTAGATATGAAATTACTTCTGGCTATAACGACATTTTTTATAATTTTGAAACTATATACTAGATATGAAATTACTTCTGGCTAAACCGACATCTGGATAAATCACAATTTATTTAAGTTTTTGAGGTGTCGATATAACCAGAGTGACGTGTAATAAAAATCATACGTATATATAAACATAGCGCAGGTCATATAATCAAGATTTTTTATACGTGGATCAGCATTAATTTAATAGTAAATACATATAAAGCTCAAGATGCAATAACTCTTGAACCAGCAAACCCACACAAATAAAATTATATTTGTCGGGTTCAATATAATGTGCTCTTTAACGTAATAACGTTCTTTTTTTTATTTCTGTTGTCTGAAGCGTAGCGGAGGAAATAAAATAATACCAAAATTCTCGTTTTTGATATATTATTAATAAAAACATCAAAAATGTAACTTTGAATTTTTCGGTGCATATTGTGACACAATACGCAAGTTACATTTTTGATGTTTTGATTAATAAAAATCAAAAACGAAAATTCTTTGAGTTCCCTGCTACGCTCCAGGCAATAGAAATAAAAAACAAAGAACGTTATTACGTTAAAGAGCACATTATATCGAACCCGACAAATATAATTTTATTTGTGTGGGTTTGCTGGTTCAAGAGTTATTGCAGCTTGAGCTTTCTATGTTTTTACTATTAAATAAAATCTTGATTAATGATATTACGTATACAAATATGCAAATCATTAATTAAAACCAATATACATACAAATACGTGTAAACTAGTTTTCTTTTAAAATTATTAAAAATGTTATAGCCAGATGTCGGTATATCCAGATGTTAATATAATCAGAGTGACGTGTATTTACTATGTATAGATAATCTTTTAGATTTATAATATATATTATATTATTTATTGCGGTCTCAATTTGAAAATATAAGCCTACCAAAATCCCTAAATCCTAACTTTTAAAAAAAAACGACAAAAAAGGCCCAACAAATTTTAAAAATCGAAATAGATGCATCATCCGTGACAATTAAAATCACTTATCTATGATGGTTTTGCGCCTCAAAAACTAGTTAATTACATATTGGTGACACCCAGGAATTCTAAAAATAGACTTCCATCCACAGCGAAGTTGCGGGGTTTTTTAATCGGTCAATTTAATAACACCGTGTTATTACATTGACCGATTAAAAAACCCCGCAACTTCGCTGTGGATGGAAATCTATTTTTAGAATTCCTGGTTTTCTCTTGGCGTCACCCATATAAGTACTATTTATTTCCCGCAGCGGCGGGAATAAGAGATAAATCCCAATCAGCCGGGGGCCCGAAGGGCCCCGGCTGATTGAGATTTATCGGTTTATTCCCCCGCAGTGGGAAATAAGATTGTTATTCTTCGTTTTATATGACGTCATGATGATGTTTTACGACTTATATAAATAAACTTTTTTT